GTCTGAATTGCTCAAAGTATAAATCAATTTTCCCCATTAAAAATAACAGAAAATGAATTAATCCATTCTCAGATCATAAACAATACCCATTTCAAGAAATGTAAAACAGTAAATATACATAATTTAAGGTAAGAGTAACATAATTAAATGCCCTAATAATAAATTAAAGCAAGAAAACAATAAATAAAATAAGTAAATATTGTATAATAAAATGTAAATTGCATTTACTGGTCACACACTGTTAACTTTGGCATCTAAAACATAGTCACCAGATCCACCAAGTGTACTGCTTTCATGCTTTGTGGTAAGTTCCTTTTTCATCTCAATTGTAAGTTCTTCTTAGACTTCATTGCTTCCACACACTTCTCAGATGCCATAGTTAATAAGTAACAGTTGTATCAAAGGGTTGAACAGAAAATATTTGTGTATTTTTAACAGTTACCATTACTTAACATAAATATGTGGTTTAATAATAACACATAAAATTTAACACATTATTGCTAATGTGAGATTGTATTCTTTATTTACAAGCTTATTTTAAACTTTTTACTTCACATTTTTTTAAAATAAAATCAAGTTGAAATGTCTTCAGATAAAAAGCATATCAGGTATATTATGCTTTCTGAGTTTCAGAAAAGGTATAATACCATACAAACTCATAATGTGCATGGGTGAAGATATTCCTAAACTTTGAACATGTCAAATGTGGTTTAAAAAGTGTGAGGCTCTGGAGAGGTCCAAAGCCTCACTAAAATTTGTCTTAAAATATTTTTTCAAAGAAAAAAAGAAAGAATCTAGCAATAATGTTTTATGTGAAAAACACGATGCGAACATATAAACAATAGAAGATGTAAGTCCTAAAATCAACCATCTCCAGTTGGGATCAAATTAAACATTGATTTTGACATCTCCTGCAATCTAAGTTGAGATCTCATTACATTTAGTAATGAGTGATCATCCACTTAGAAAGCAAGAATGAGGAAAAGTGACCAATTGAAATGGGTGATTGAGAACAGAAAATAATAAAAACTTGGAATTTCAAGGACTTAATGGCTTCTTCTCCCAAAAGTTCCAAGTGTCAGACCAATTGTTGTGTATCATATGCCTATCTTCAGTTGTCTCCCTTCCTTTGATTGACATCTTCTCATCACTGGAAGTTGACTGTATCATTCTGAAGCTGTTGAGACATTAAAGGAACTCTCATTTTTGATCCAGAGTGGTGACAACGCCTTCAGAGGTTGCCACTGACTTAGAACTTCTAAAAACATAGAAATTTTGTAAGCTCCTTTTTTGTGTCAAATAAACAGTTAGTTGTAATTATAGAATCAGACAGATTCTAGTGTTACAACTGACTGGGTGTGATCAGCACTGAGATACAGTACTGATCACACCCACATACCATCCTTTACAACCCCAATCATTGCATCCCCATTGCTGTTTGTTTGTTTAGTTATTGCAATACAACACTTGGGCGATCTGCCTAGAGGGGATGCCTTCTGGGAGGTCATAAGGGAAACTGGCCCTACTTAGGCATTACAGACATGGAGAAAACCCAGAAAACTCTGCATGGCCAGCCTGTCCAAGCGAGGTGCAAACCCATGATCGAACTCCCAGTGTTCAGGGAATGAAGATGCCTGGCCACTGGTGGGCAGCATCCCCATTGCAACCTCACAAAAAGTCAGTTTGGAAAATTTTGAATTAAAGGATACAAAACACACAGGATGCCCAAAAGCTGTTGAGGAAGAAACTTTGTTCAAAGTACAAGGTACCACTGTACTTTCAAAATTTGAATCTCTTAATAGTATTGCTAAATGTTTTATGATAAGTGATGATTTGATCATTCCTGGTACTTGGATCAGGCAATATGGGTCAAAGTTTCTGGAGTGCCAAATTGCAAAGACTGTCTTTTTGTTCTGAACTTGAATAAAACAAATTTTTTCTCCTAAAGTAGTGTACCTGATATAGAATTCTTTTAGAAGAGATTTATTAATAATCTACATGAGAAAAATGTAGGAACTAAGCGATTTTCCATTTGCTATTGTTCTTCCTTGCTTTTGTCATACCATCTGTTAGCAATCTTTTTCTTCACTCAAAGTGTTCTTAAATGTTAATGTTCATTCAGTGGATATTTTTATCTCATTTGATATTTTCTAATATAAAGAATATTATGTAATTGAAAACTTCCAGTATTTAAATAAAGTTTTTATTAAATATTACTTAATACTATTACTATTGTGAGAACCTGGGCTAGTGTAAATTTAACAGTTTAATCTTATTTTTGTTTTGTTCAAATTATTTCATTTCACAAATACAGTAAACGAACTTTGTAAGATTTTCCACCGATAACACTTCCTCCATGGATGACACAACTTCCAATAAAAAAAAAATTATTCATCAAGGAAAATGAGAAAAAAATAACAGATTGGAGCAACCGCAAACTTTACCAAATATGGGCATTAGAGTAGCAAGGGGAAGAGACTCCGAATAAAAAGCAAGAGGACAAATGATGAGTCAGAGTGCAGCTGCCTGGTTTCAAAATGTATGCTCATCCCACTGGATTCTGCCACAAATTTTCCTGAACTCCCATCATTTTCCACTGACTTTCACCACTCCCCTTGATGAACAAGTACCTGAACTTTACCCTTGAATTAAGACTCATCCAGACCAAGCATTTCCCTCCTTGAAATGTCAATGATTGTCAACACTAACCATCCAGGTATTTATCAACCTACATGTAGTGATATCGGGCCTCCTCGCCCTTCCTCTCCTGCGATTTCGTCGGAACGGATGCGACCCACTTGCACAGGATGACAGAAGGCCATAAAACTGGGGGGAAAAGGGAGAAGGGAGGAATTCTGGACACAAGAGGGAGAGGGAATGTGAAGTAGCAGTCCCTGAGAGTGAAATAAAGTTTTTTTTTTATGGAAATATTGGACTAATTAATTGGTGAGACGAACCGACGGGGAGGAATCCGCTGATTAAGAACGAGTTCCCTACACCACATACACAACTATAAACACACTCTCTCTCTCTCTTTTAGACATTCATTGAAACTTCATTTTTGGTTCGAAAAGTAAATATTTGTTAGTTAATGGTTAATAGTAGAGTGCATTACTTCAGGTCTCCCCTGCCTCTCTTATACTTTCCCTCCTTCATCCCTTACTCCATAAAAGTCCTACATATGTAGCTGCTTGTGTGGTTCAAAGGTTCCTGTAAAAAATGACAGATAGACAAGAGGGGGACTGCCATCCTGTTTACACTAGTATGATGCATTCTTTTTACTGAGTGAGAGGTGTTATCTTGCCTGATTAGTGTTGGTCCAGATTTCTACTAAACATCAATTCCAAGTACTTTTAGTTTAATGGAAAAATTGATATATTCTAAGTTTATATAACTGATGATTTCAGATTTAAAAATATATTTTGAATTCATTTAATTTTCATTGCATTTTCTAATTTAATGTAAGAATTTAAAATCACAATGTATTCAAAATATTAATTCTTAATTGCTGTTTGTTTAGTATTATTATAAAATAAGTAGATTATAGGAAGATATACTATTATTATTATATATATAAAAGTGTATATATATAATAATTTTGTTCCCTATGATGTCTGTATCAATATATTGAGTAAATTGTATTATTAAATTTAATATTTTAAAAATAAAACAAACAGATATTTTCATGAACTATAACTATAATAATAATAATAATAAT